CAATATTGCAGCACTTGTGGCTCTCCTTCATGTGAAAAGATTGTCATGAAGCAATTTATGGCTGGACTATAATAACAATTATTGGTTTCTTGATACAAAAAAATATATTTTATCTTTAGTTACTTATTGAAATGATTTTTAAATATTAATACTTCCATTTGATTAATTAGAACTCCCTTTCTAATGTGTTTAGAAATGTTTAAGCAACTAAAATTATGTATTGTAAATGCTTAAATAATAATAATAATGATAGTAAATGATACATTAATATAATAATTATATTGCCATTACTTTGTGATACTAAAGTCAGAATTTTTTTTTCAATTAAAATAACACACATGTTATACTCACCTGCTCTCTGCAATGGTATTGCACAGACTGGCCCCGATCCTCCTTTTCCCGGGTTCCCCGCTGGCGGTCTTGGCTCCTCCTCTTCTTTGCGTTTGCTGTTTGCTATGGCGACACACACTGCATGCACAATCCCGCACCCCCCCCCCCCACTTGCTCTTCACTACATTTGATTGACAGCAGCAAGAACCAATGGCTCCTGCTGCTGTTTGAATCCTTGTATGAAGAGGAAGAGAGGGGATAAGAGATGTACAGCACTGATTTCTTCTCCCCTCTCTTCCCCTTCATACAGGGAAGGGGGAGTGAACAATAGAGAACATTTTTTTACCTTAATTCAAGCAGTGCAGTAAGGTAAAAAATGCTTTTTTAGGTTTAGTATCACTTTAAATAATATTTACTACTAAGATAACATTTTTCAAAAGTCAAGAATGTACAACTATTGTGAATGGCAGTTACATGAACCAGTGCTAAAAATGATAAATATTTTAAAGAAATTTAGGCTGGATTCACACATATGCGGTGCGGTATATCGCATGTGATTCGCTTAGGAACCGCACCACATTGCTGTGCAAATCACATGCGAATTGTGTGCGGTGCGATTGGAGCCATACATTTCGGGCACGTGACGTATTGACGTTCCCGGAAGTGCCGCCGCGGCCATTTTGGATTCTGGAGCGCTTGTGTTTGGCGTTCCTGGGACTTGGGGTGTACTCCTGGCGCTCCCCCAGAGTTGAAGTGACAGTGGTGGGCAGGAGTGTGACGGTGTAACTCACTGGTGATCGGGAGATCTTTTGATACCACAATGGGGTTACTCATTTGTCGCTAGGAGCAGGAAGCCGGTTTTACCAGATTTTAATGTAAGTGGCTACAATAAAATTTATATGCTATTCTTTCACATACTGATTCCTGGTCTGTTTGTGAGGTCCAAAGGAGCAAGAGGATGCTAGTTTGAGGATTCTCCATGCACACGGGTTGATCATATGCTGATAATTTTTTGATTTAGGGTAATTATGCATTTTTATATATGGTTTGCAGTGATATCTATTGAGTATCCTTTTCACGAATGCTGTGACACTATAGTGTTTTGCATGCTGCACGTGTGGCACTATACTTGTGGTACTTGAGATAATACACTATGTCTAGATTTTGTTTTTTTGAGGTCTATAAAGAACGTCTGAGTTTTATCTTCATCTTCGTTTTGGAGTAGTGAGCACTTATCCATCAAGATTTGGATATCACGTTCGACATTTTTGGGTTTTTATTTGAAATTTTGGACATTTTACTTTTGGGACTTTGAGTTTGTTTATTTAAGTCGGTTGATATATTATATACCTTTTCGTATGGCTTAAATCGCACCGCATCCACACCAAAAAGGTGCAGGACCCTTTTTTTGGTTCGCAGTAGAATCAGATTGCATGAGTATTCACACCCATGCTATGCGATTCTGCATATCGCACCGCGTTTTGTGGTCCAATTTCGGGGAAGTTGTTAACATACACACCAGCAGTGGTTCGCATGAAAGGGGTGCAACTGTGATGTGGTGCGGAATTCGCACAGAAAACGCTGCAAATTACGCACTGCATCAGTGTGAACCCAGGCTTAAAGGAGGTAGTCACACAGATCAACACATTTAGGAACAAAAGAAAAGAAGCTTGCCACATGTAGCGTACTGATTGAGCAGAGTAAAGATGGTAAAGCTACTCATTAATTCCATCTTGGAAGGCAGCACACTGGAGATAATTACAAATGTTCCAAAATCAATAGAGCAATCACATGAAGAACACAATAGAATGGCCATAAACATTCTACATATTTGTAAGACAAATAGTGTAAATAGAACATTGTTGATAGAAATGAACATGTACTTTTTCTCTTTGGTTGGTCTGAAATGTTTGCTTTTGTTATTAGTTTTCTGGTTCATACTAGAAGTTTGCTGAAGTTGCTTTCCAGCCTGAATACATTTTACTATGTAGGGCCACGTTATATTGCAGCTCAGGGTCCTATTTACCATTTTTGCTGCCTTAGGCAAAATGTGACTCATGACATTCTGTCATAAATGTAATCATTTTGCCTCATACGTGGCACATGGTTATTGTAATCAGGGGAGCACTATCAACTATTTATAATCTAATGATTGCAATATAATTGCCAATCTGTTGGTGGCTAGGTCACATATGCCAAACAGTGAGGGCTTTCTGTGCATATGATTTAATAAATATTGACTAAATAGTAACCAACTGTTGGATGCTGCTTGCTTGGTAGCAATCTTATACAGTCCAAAAGTTAGAGTAAACATGTATCTAATCTAAAACAATCTTTTGTTCCTTTTTTCTTTCGAATAGAGCAGCAGCATTTCAAAACTTCAACCAGGTTTTTGTAACTGTTTGTGTCCCCTTTAGGGAGGCACACTCTATTTGTCCTGGTGACCAATATCACTGAAACTGAAAGTGGGATAGAGGGAAATCTTCCAGTCAGTGCTCTTGTACCAATGGCAATTATCTAAGAAGGCATATTCCTCACTTTGGGAGATTTCTGTTCACTTTCTCTCTCATAGAACAGGAACATTTCTCCAAACACAAGAACAGAGATAGAAAGGGTTTTAAGTATTCCCTAGTCTATCCAAAATGAAAACCAAATGTTTTGTTTTGATATTTACAGTGTTTGTAAAAGCACATGGTACACTTATCTGCTCTGTGCAAAGGTTTTGTACAGAGCATCCCCAATCCTCCTCTTCTCGGTTCCCTTGCTATAGGGGCTGTAATAAACTCAGAGCACAAGAAGGTAAATGACTCAGGACCCCATGTGCAGGCGTTAATTGGGGAGACTCAAGGGTACAGGAAGGGTGACAACAGGACACAACACAGAAAAATAGTCCACAGGGCAATAAGATATCACAGCACTAGTAAAGAGTTCATAGAATGGCAATAGGGAACAGCAACGGGGACACAGTCCACAGGGTGACAAGCAAGCACACCAAGAGGCTATGATCCTCCAGATGGTAATAGGGTACAGCAGAGGAGAAATAGTCCACAGGGTGACCAGGAGGTACATGAAGGGAGAATGATTCTGAGGACGATAATAAAAGACAGTAAAGAGGAAATAGTCCACAGGATCACCAGAAGGCACAGCAAAGGAGAATGGTCCTCAGGACGATATGTGGCAGCATAGAGGAAAAAGTCCACCGGGTAACCAGAAGGTCCAGTAAGAGAAAATGGTCCTCAGGAAGATAATATGGGACAGCAAAGGGAAAATAGTCTACAGGGTCACCAGAAGGCACTGCAAAGGAGAATAATCCTCAGGAAAAAAATATGGGACATCAAAGGGAAACTAGTCCACAGGGCAACCAGAAGGCACAGTAGGGGAGACGGATCCCCTGGACGGTAATATGGGACAGCAAAGACGGCAGACTGTTTTCAGGGACTCACACTTAGGACACCGGTGGGCCCATGGCCGCTGGTGAATTGGACTGGATGCTGGATGGCTTGTTCTTATAGGTTCCTGGAGACAGGGTCTTGGCAGCCTGTGCTAGAATAGCTAAGGCAATTGGAGGCCAAGGGTCATTCCTGGAAACTTGACTGCAGTCTGGAGTCCTCACAGGAACTAGCAGCACACAGGGCTGGCAGCAGGAAAAAGGGCTGGACTACCTTCCCAGATCAGGTAGATATATTGGAACCGGGGTGCTAACTCATGAACAGGCAATCTGATGCTGAGCATCAGATTGCGCAGGCAACAGGCTCCACCGTCCATCCACACAGCCGCATCATGCGCACCTCGGGGGTGAGCTCTTTGTCTTTTAGCAGGGCACAGCAGAGGAAGAAGAGCATGCTGTGCCTGGTAGACCCCAGGAGGAGGAAGTCTGCAGCCAGTGTGAAGAGCAACAGCTGCAGCAAAGGATCCAACCGCACACAGTAGCTGTGGAGAGGTAGGGTCTGTGTGTGAGGGCCAGGTACTGAATACATGGCTCCCTGCACATATGTGGTATGGAGAGGTGGGGATGTGTGGAGAGCAGAAGGGCAAGCTGGGTGCCGTGACGGGCACTTGTGTGTGCTCGCTCCCGAGCTTGCTCTGTGTCCATAAGACACACAGAGTGTGGCTCATCTTGCCCCTCACTCCCTCCTCACTGGCTGTGATTGACAGCAGCAGGTGTTAATGGCTCCTGCTGCTGTGTCTGAGCCAATGAGGAGAGAGAGAAAACAGAGCCTTTGCTCTCATGCACAGCACTGGATTGAGATTGGGCTCAGGTAAGTATTTAGGGGTGCTGGGGGGGAGCTGATTGCAGAAGGTTTTTTTTTTTTGCCTTAAGGCAGAGACTGCATTAAGGTAAATAAAAGTCTGCCTTTAGAACCAACGCACGCACTTTTTATAGTGCATGGTGTGAACAGAGCACATAGAACACAGGTATAGTATTTTCTATGTGGCCTGTTCACACCATGCATCTGCGAGCTTGTACAGAAAAATGCAATGTGAGGGAAATGATGTGAGCGAGCCCTTATCATCGATGTGTACTGGTGGCCAAGTCAGGAGAAATAGATGTATGAAAGCATATAATGTGTGTGATTTGTACACTGTACTTCAGCTGGGCAGATGTTTAAACCATCTGTTAGTAAGGAATGTGAAAATTTTATGTTGGTTTCATCTTGATTTCCTTGCAGGACATATGCATCAGTGCCGTCAAAGAAAAAGATATTGAAGCAAAACTGAAAAATGTCATTAATGAATGGAGTGCCCATGTATTCACTTTTGCCCAGTTCAAGTCAAGAGGAGAACTTCTCTTGAAAGGTTCAGATACCTCTGAGAAAATCGCTCTGATGGAAGACAGTCTTATGGTATTGGGGTCCATTATGAGTAACAGGTAAACAATAGATATCCACTAAAGTATATAGGACAAACTGTGAAAGCTGGTGTAGACACTTTTAAAAAAAACCTGTGTGGCCTAACTGTAGTTCTGAGTTTCTTGTTGGTGTTTTATGTTTTGTCTGTGCTGGCATTTTATGGTGTGCTGTTAAGTATTTGCCCGTGTGTGCACATATTTTTGCACTTTTTAATTTTTTCCCTGGTTGAGTATTTTCTATGTAATCTTTTATTTCATTTAGTTCATAAATCTAAATTAGATCATAAATAGGATCACACACTGCAGACCTTTGTAATGTTAAAAAGGTTAGGTTACATCTTAAATGTGGATCTATCCTATCAACAAAATGGCTTTTAAATGCACAGACATAGCACTAAAACTGTAAAACTCCCCACAGGCTAAGAGCATCTGAACAATAGTACAGTTATCACTAGCTGACATTTATGTCGAGGGTGGTGTGACATCTCTATTCCTGTGTACAGATCTGATCAATGTTTATTAAATGCTTGAAATTAGGAACACAAACATGTTGACATTTATTCAACCCTATCATTCTTTCTTTTCGCATATAAAATTATTTACAGGTAAATTATAGGTCTTGCTCTTCCTGGACAGGGCTAATATACGTTGGCTAAACCATTCATGTATTACTTATTATACACTGGTGTATACAATTTCACACAAAAACATTTACTGCTATGCTATACATGTTGACTTAAGCTGGGCATACATGGATCGAAATTCAGATGGTTTAGCAGGAACCAGCCACATTTCTATCCATGTATGGCCACTGTGGTTGAACAGAATTTGATCTACCTATTGACTTCTGTTCAACTGCCCTGTTGGAAAAAAGCAGTCAAATCAGCACTGCAGGCTATAGACTGGGGAGGATTCCATTATCCACCTCTCATGTGTGGATGGGCGAATCAGGTCAGTTTTTACATTCATCTAGCTGGTTAAGTACAAAAAAAACTGACTCATCTATGTCCAGGCTTACTAGTATAGTCATGATTGCCAATCAACCTGAGATTCCTATGGGGCAAGGGGATCACACTGACTAATTTCCAGGTAAAAATCTTCTTCAGAATTCTTTGTTTAATAAATTATGATATTTTTGATTAACAGGTATAATGCACCATTTAAGCCAACCATACAACAGTGGGTGCAAAAGTTATCCAACACAACAGAGATCATTGAGAACTGGCTTAATGTGCAGAACCTTTGGATTTACCTGGAGGCTGTGTTTGTTGGTGGCGACATTGCAAAGCAACTTCCTCAGGTGTGTACTGTCTGAACAAAATGAGTCATATACAAATCCAAATCCACCAAAGAAGGGTAGGAAACACCAAGTAAAAAGCAGCCGTGGATAACGAAATGCTGAAGATCAAAGATGATGTGTCAAATGAATATGTCATGCTTCTACAGGACCTCAGGAAGAAAAACTTCTTTTTACATTTTGGACAGAGTGGAGAGGGATTAGAACACTTGATTTTTTTATGTTTTTGTATTGCTACCTCTGCCTTCTTTAGGGAGATTCACCCTCTCTGTCCAGTTTCATGTTATTTTCAAAAGTGAAAGTAAAATAAAATCAAAAGAACAGTAATATAAGGGAAATTTTAGTTTGGGGACACTAGATCATGGGACATGGGGGCCTCATTGGATCCTCTTTATTTTCAGGGATTTGCTTCACTTCCTGTTTTGGCTATGGATGGGATGACACAGATGGCAAAAATATAACTTGACAGGGGTTATAACCCTCCCTTACTCTATCCAAAGTTAAAAAAAAATGCCTATAATTCTCCTTTAAGGAAATGTATTGTTTTCACTTGACACAGCCACCTTTGTTTTTTTATGGTCCATCGGCTATACACATGCATACATAGTCCTATACATACATTGACCTATATCCATCTACCACACATGGCTATGTTGTAGATCGTGAGTTTTACATGTTTTGAATATAGTATTAAAGCTTTTTCTAGAAATGTTCTATATTGTTCATAGCTTCCTACAATTTCTATGAATTTAAAAAAATAGTTCCTTTGGGACTGTTACATATGGGGTCATGGGTTCCTATTTTTTCCATTCTTTTAGCATAGGCTATACTTTTCAATATTGACAGGCCTCTAAAAATTTTCAGTGTCCATTTACACCTAAGCATGAACTATAGCAAGTGTGAATGGGCATATACAGTGGTGGCAAAAATTGTAGACACTTCTGGAAATGTTGTTTTGCACCAAATGTGAATGTTTATATGTCAATTTAAAGACTATTTAATGCTGAATTCAATACAAAACAGAATTCAAATATATGCAGTACAAATTTTTTTTTTTACTTTAGTTTAAAAAAAAGAAACACAAGTGCAAAGACCAGGCCTTTTTTGACAATTTTTTGTTTACATGTAAAAATATACTTTTTGGATAGAAAATTGCTTAGAACCCCCAAACATTATATATATGTTTTTAGCAGAGACCCTAGAGCAGGGGTCCTCAAACAGTTCACTGTCCCTCAGACTGTTGGAGAGCTGGACTATATTTAAAAAAAAAAAAATTGCTATTAGTAAAATACCAATATATATATATATAGATATATATATATACAGCGCTTCAAAAACAATATACCAGCAATAACTTTGCCCACACAGAGACATACAGACTGCACTGCGCATGCATCATCCCTCCACTCTGCCAAACAAGCCTACTTCGTAACCCTCTTCTCCAGTCCTCGCTGGCTCTTCTCCACTTTTAACTCCCTACTCTCCCCCCTCCCCTACCTCCACCCCCAGTACCTCACTCACCGCCCATGAGATTGCTAACCACTTCCAAAACAAGATCGACACAATTCATAGGGACATCGCCAATGCTCAGACTTCCACCCCACCTAGCCTCCCACCCATGATAACCCCCTCAACACTCCACTCCTCTGACCTCGCAACTGCCCAGACCCCCCCCCCACCTAAACACCGCGCACACTAAAACCCCCCCAACACTCCACTCTTTCGACCTTGCTACCACTGAAGAGGTCACTAAGGTCTTCTCTGAAGCCCGCCTCACCACCTGCCCCCTTGACCCTGTCCCCACACAACTCCTACAGTCACCCTCCTCCTCCTCCTTCATCCTACGCTCCCTCTCCGTCACCCACATCTTCAATCTCTCCCTCTCTACTGGCACATTCCCCTCCCCCCTAAAGCACGCGCACATCACTCCCATACTCAAAAAACCCTCCCTGGACCCCACCGACCTGAACAACCTGGGACCCATCTCCCTGTTGCCATTTACATCCAAACTCCTCGAGTGCTTAGTCTATAATCGCCTAAGCTCCCACCTCAACGACAACAACCTCCTAGATCCCCTACAGTCTGGCTTCCGTCCCCTACACTCCACCGAAACGTCCTAATCAAACTCACCAACGACCTGCTAACCGCCAAAGCTAATGGCCACTACTCAGTCCTCCTACTCCTCGACCTCTCCGTGGCCTTCAACACAGTTGACCACCCCCTCCTGCTTAAAAAAACTATACTCCCTTGGCATCAGAGACTCCGCTCTCTCCTGGCTCTCCTCCTATCTATCCCAGCGCTCCTTCAGTGTTACCCACAGGCAGCAGTAGGGGGGGGGGGACCCCTACCACCTGTAAAAGCAAGTCTGCAGCTTATTAGTAGCTCAGATGGCTTTTACATAAAAACCAATCACCTCCTGTTAAAAAAAAAACAATGCTAGGATGTTGCCTGTAGCTGCAGGCATCATCCCAGGATACCACTTGTAAGCCGTAACATAAATATATGTATTGCGGTCTTCAAGTGGTTAAAAAGCAGATAATAAGTGCAAACCCTACTGGCCAACCACAGTCTTTGTTCTAGGGACCAGTCAAATGGCAGTAATAAATCTTGTGAGAAGTTGAGGACATTCAGTTTTACTGTTTGTTGTATAAAAGGAAGACTGTTAGCTGTGTAAGTGTAGAGCAATTGTAAATGGTATTGTATATTGAATATTGTTAGTATTTCTTTAAATTTAATGTGTAGATACTGTATATTTACATGTGGCTTTCAAGTGGTATAATGGGATAATGCCTGTTTGGATAATGCCCATTGGGATGGGGATGATGCCTGCAGCTACAGGCATCATAACAGTATTGTTTTTTTACAGGAGGCGATTGGCTTGTGAACAAGATATCCCTGACGGACAGCTGGAACATCAACCTTTTTTTTTCTCCACTGCAGTTAAAGTGCATAGCCAAAATATTTTAATTTTGTTTTAGAGTAGAGAAGAGTTAAAACCCCTATCAGATTATTTTTTTTGCTGTCTTTGTCCCATTGGGGAAATTTCCCTTCATTTCCTGTCCCAGGGATGCAACAGCGAGAAAATCTTAAAGTGTAGGGATTTCCAGACACTTCTGGAACAAGTGTCCCCAGTAAAAGATTTCCCTTCATCTCTTGTTCTGGGGACTGTCATCAGTACAAATAGAGGGGTGTATCTTCCTAATGGAGACACAGATAGCATTAAAGACTTGTCAGTGGGTCTAACCTTCCTCTCTATTACTTTAAGCAATACAACTTGGTCACTGAGCTGCCCCTGGTTTGCTGATAGAACAATAAAAGGCCATCACACCACTTACAGGGTCATCACTTTGTTTCCTCCTTCTGTCAGCATGTTCCCCAGATTGCACATGTAGAGCCTAAATGGCTAACAGTGCTTCCCCTCTCACTAGCAGCCCTGTTGTGCAGGGATGAAAAGAAGCTTATATTACAGTATCTCATATTCAGATGCTCTTATTATCTATTTTAAAAAATTCAGCTAATTATTAAGACAGTGGTCTTTCATTTGTTCCAGGAGTTTTACTTTAGTTCTAGCAGAAAGTGTAAAATTACAGACAGAAAACCACTTGGAATAGTTGGCTAAATGAGTCACAGATATGTTATAAATATACATATGTTTTCTATACATTATAGGTAATTCTTATAATCAGGGAAAGCTGAAATAACTTACATGAAGGAGAAAAAGAATATTCATATTGTGAAACACATAATGCACATGGACATAATGCTTTGTGTAATGGATCTTCACACCACTGAGACTAGAAATCATGTACACTTTTCTGCATTTTGCTTGCTACAGTATGTTTAGGATATTGTCAAATGAACACAAAAGCAATTTTTATTCTGTTGGAGCAACCAGTGTATACATAGTATACATTGGCAGCACATTTATAGATTTCTGGCTTAGCCTAGTATAGAGAGAGGAATAAAAAGAGTTTGCAGTTAGTAAAGAAAAGGTATTTGGTAAGCATGGTCACACATGTTATCTCTGTAGGAACAGCCCATGACACAGCAAGGAACAAAGGGTAGATGTCCCTTGTGCCACTGATTGTCAGGAAAGATATATGTTGCCTTGGTTACTGCATCTATAATATATTTGTGCGAATGTATGAACAGATGTTAATACACAAGAAACTGATAAAGCCCCTTTGAACTGTATGTATAGTTACAACATATATTTCCAAATGGTTACATCTATGAAATTCAACCTTTGCAAACCCAAGAATTTATATGAAAAGCAAAGATTGATGGGAATTTATTTAACATTTGTTAGACTATTGGCATTAAAAGCAAAACATTTTAAATTCTGGTAGTTTGACAAGGTTGTTAAATATTGCATAGCAAAATGCATTAGGCTTTTAATAGATGGAGTTTTACATGGAGCAGTGGCAATTTATAGCAGACAAAAAGATGTTAAGTTTAAAGGGTAAGGAAACTTTCAAAAATCTCCTTATCCCTTTGCCCCCTCCCGAGCTGAAATATCCAGCCCCCCAAACTTTATTCCATGATTTTTTGTTGCCAAGGTCCACTGCAATATTTAAGTTTTGCACCTTGGCTTTTTTAACCAATTAAGGAATATTTTCAGGGTCAGAGACAAAGGAAAAAAAAAACTTTTAATCAAGAAGTGTAGCAAATGCTATTTTGGCTATACTTCTCCTGTAGGTCACAGGAGTGCAGTTTGTTCTGCCATAATTTTGACCCATTTTCAGTCGACTGCAGGCTAAAGTCCACTGTCGGCTGCCGTCACTCAACCAATCCAGGATCTGAAAAGATCCCAGTCATATGGTTGGGATCCACCCAGAAGCCTGGACCAGCATATAGCTCAGCCTGAGTCAGCCCCTCTTGCCCCCTCCACAGCCCAGTGCTCCACTGAGCACTGGAGTGGCAGAACAGAGAGCTGGAGACTGACAGTCACCGCTTTCTGCTCAGAGAACTGAGCTATAAGTGATGTTTGATCACTCAGTTCTCACTGCAGAGCCAGTGGGGGACAGATGCAGCATTAGATTGATGATGCATCCACCTAGGTGAGTATAAATTTTATTTTTTTAAGTCCATACTTTTCTTTTAAAGAGGTAGTAAACTCTCTATGTTGATTTTTACCTACAGGGAAGCTTACAATAAAGCTTACCTATATTTAAAATTAATATCTCCTAAAGGTCCACCATTTAGCAAATATTCCAGCTAGCAGCAGCCGGTGACGTCATTCAAATGATTGGGCTGCCATGCAAACCTGCTTTCTTTAAGTCCCACCAGAGGCTCAAATGGTGTACATCTGCGATGCCACATGGCAAGTGGAACTTGGAGGTATGCTTGGGATCATTGTCCAGTTGAAAGGTCCAACGTCTCCCAAGCCTCAGGGGTGTGTGACGGACTGCATCACGTTTCCATCCAATATCTCCTGGTACTGAAGAGAATTCATGGTACCTTGCACACGCTGTACCTGCTTCCCTGTACCTGCAGAAAGCAAAACAGCCCCAAAGCATGATTGACCCTCCACCATGCTTCACAGTAGGCAAGGTGTTCATTTTTCATCATAGCCTTGTTTTCTTCCTCCTCCAAACATAGCGTTGTTGATGCCATGGGCCCAAACAGTTCTAATTTTGTTTTCCATCAGTCCCACAGAACACTATCCACAACAACTTTTGTGGTTTGTCCACATGGCCTTTTGGCATACTGCAGTCGACTCTTCTTATTCTTTGGAGACAGCAAGGGGGTACGCCTGGGAGTTCTGGCACGGAGGCCTTCATTAACGCAGTGTGCGTCTTATTGTCTGGGCTGAAACTTCTGTACACCCACATCTGACAAATCTTTTCTCAGTTTCCTCAGCAGTCACACGGGGGACTTCTCTCCACTCTACGCTATCAGGTAGCGCACAGCAGTCGAAAGTCAGCATCTTCTTTCTGCCACGACCAGGTAGCGTTTCAACAGTGCCCCTTTGCCTTGAATTTGCGAATGATGCTTCCTAAGGAGTCTCTTGGATATGTTTAACATCTTTGCAATCTTCTTATAGCCATTGCCCTTTCCTGTGAAGAGAAATCACCTCTTCTCTTGTCTTCCTGGACCATTCTCCTTTGCCTTCACCATGTTTGTAACCACACCAGTAAAATGTCTAGAAGGAGCTGAGTATCACAGTCATTTTTAAAGCTGCCTAATTGGTGCTTATTATGCTTGAATTGCTGCTCGGTGACATCCACAGGTGTTTTTCAATACCTGATGGAAAGCACCTGTAATGAACCTCTGTTCTTCAGAGTGGGGTAGTCTTTAAGGGGTTGAATAATTGTGGCAATTGAAGAAACCCACATAAGAACCATTTACTATATGGGCAATTCCAAAATGTACACAATAGTCCCCTAAAACCCCTTTAACAGCATTGCGGTGTATGCAACCTAATTTTGGTACAATTGTTAATGGTCATATGGCTATAATAGCGTGAACCTAGGCTCAAAGAGGCAAATAAAAAGCTAAGCTATAAATACTTACTTTTTAGGCAAGAAAGGTCATTTTCTGCATATTGACTACTGTAGCAGTGTTTACGTGTATGAATGTTGCAGCGAGCCAAAATTATAATTATTAAAATGCTAAGTAATAAAAGAAATACACTATACAGTGGGGAAAATAATTATTTGATCCCCTGCAGATTTTGTAAGTTTACCCACTTACAAAGAAATGCAGGGTCTATAGTTTTTATTATTAGTGTATTTGAAATGATAGAGACAGAATACCAACCAAAAATCCAGAAAAAACACATGATACAAATATTATAAATTGAGTTGCAGTTCAGTGAGTAAAAGAAGTATTTGATCCCCAAGCAAATCATGACTTAGTACTTGGTGGAAAAACTCTTGTTAGCAAGCACAGAGGTAAGATGTTTCTTGTAGTTGGTTACCAGGTTTGCACACAACTCAGGAGATATTTTGGTCCACTTTTCTTTGCAACTCAAAGTTTCAGCTCATTCCTTAAATTTCTATAGCATTAAGGTCTGAAGACTGCCTAGGCCACTCCATGACCTTAATGTGCTTCTTCTTGAGCCACTCCTTTGTTGACTTGGCAGTATGTTTTGAGTCATTGTCATACTGGAACACCCATTCAGGACCCATCTTCAGTATTCTAAAGGGAAGGAGGTTCTCATCCAAGATTTTACAATACATCCCCTCGTCCATTGTCCCCTCAGTGTGGCAAAGTTGGCCTGTACCTTTAGCAGAGAAACAGCCCAAAAGCATAATGTTTCCACCTCTATGCTTGACTGTAAGGTTGATGTTCTTAGGGTCATAGTCAGCATTTTTCTTCTTCCAAACACAGAAAGTCAAGTTAATGCCAAAGAGCTAAATGTTGGTCTCATCTGAGCACAGCACTTTCTCCCAATCCTTCTCTAAATCATTTAGATGTTCATTGCCAAACCTCAGATGGGCCTGTACATGTGCCTTCTTGAGGAAGGAGACATTGCGGGCACTATAAGATTTCAGTCCATGGCGGCATATTGTGTTACCAATGGTTTGTTTGATGACTGGGGTCCGAACTGCCTTGAGATCATTCACAAGCTTCTCCCGTGTAGTTCTGGGCTGATCTCTCACTTTTCTCATGATCATCCTTACCCCATGAGGCGAAATCTTGCATGGAGCTCCAGACTGAGGGAAATTGATGGTTATTTTGTATTTCTTCCATTTGTGAATAATCGCTCCAACTGTTGTCTCCTTCTAACCAAGCTTCTTGGTGATGGTCTTGTGCAGGTCTACAATCGTGCCCCTGACATCCTTTGACAGCTCTTTGGTCTTGCCCATGGTGGTGCCCAAGAAAAAGATTCTGTGGACAGGTGTCTTTTATAGACATAACGAGTTGTCTTTAGAAGCACCTTCTTAAATTGACAGGACCAATCTGTGTACCACATGAGCACATAGCCAGTCTGTGGGAGCAATAATTATTGTTGGTTAGTAAGGGATCAAATACTTATTTTACTCACTGAACTGCAACTCAATTTATAACATTTGTATCATGTGTTTTTTTTCTGGATTTTTGGTTGATATTCTGTCTCTTTCATTTAAAATACACCTATGATAAAAATGATAGACCCTCCATTTCTTTCTAAGTGGGCAAACTTAAAAAATCTGCAGGGGATCAAATAATTATTTTCCTCACTGTATGTAAGTAAACCAAAATGTAATATTTAGCAATATACTGTATGTAGAGACCAGCATATTCAATATACTAATAAATGAATAATCGTATAACTGTAATTATGTTCAAAGTAAACACTACATATATTTCAAAGGCAAAATTATAGGCTTTAGGAAAGTCAAAGATACATGTTCTAAATGATTACATGAATTATCTGCTAAAAATATTGCAGAGGGAAGAATAAACTACACATGAGGTTTTTAATTACTTTGTTGTAAGTAATTTACTTCAAGTAGGCAATCTGTGTGCTATCAAGTAAGGTATTTGTCAACAAGAGGTTAATTTCATGCTACTAAACAATTAAAATTACTTGTGTAGTTTATTCCCATGATGCTGTTGAAGGATAATAATTTTCTAAAAAAACAAAGATTTCCGAATTTTAAATCTGAAGAGTGATGTAGGGAATTTAAATGAGTAGACTACAGATTGCAAAGGTTTATGTGCTGCCTCATATGCGCTGTAAACATGAAAGCATAGGTGGATGCTAACCTGAGCGACTCACACAAGTACTTGACTGGTAATGCCATCATTATTAAAACTGGGGACACCATGAACAAGTGTTGATGTTATTGTCACTTACTCATTTCAGGAGGCAAAGAGGTTCCAGAACATTGATAAGTCCTGGCAGAAGATTATGCAGAGGGCTCATGAGACCACCAATATAGTTCAGTGCTGTGTTGGCGATGAAACATTGGCACAGCTGTTGCCGCATTTACTTGAACAGCTTGAGATGTGTCAAAAATCCCTCACTGGATACCTGGAAAAGAAGCGTTTGGTATTTCCTCGGTTTTTCTTTGTATCAGACCCAGCTCTTCTGGAAATCCTTGGCCAAGCTTCAGATTCACACACTATTCAGGTAAAATTGATATTGTTCATTAAGGCTTATTATAAGAAATATTTTGACTGTCTTAAAGTGAACAAAAGATAGCCTGCTCACCCTCCATGCATTCCCTCCATGAATCCAAGCTAAGTGCAAGATCAGCGCTCTCCTACACACAAACACAGCTGATTGAAAAAGGAATGATCAGCACACACAATGAATAAATAAAATCCCGGTCTTTATTCTATTTTTTAAAAACAAAGCATGGCCAGAAGACTATGTATTCGGATTTGACAAAGACTTTTTTCTGGTTGAAGGGCATTAACCACAATGTACAGGTTTAAATATTTCACAACAGAAGCAATGAAATCTCAGCGCCTCTCCCTGTATTTTTATGGCAGCAGAAACTTCAGACTTAAAGTGGAACTTCAGGCTCCAAAGTGAAAATGGGCAGACAGGCAGGATTTATAATGCAGAAGAGACATGCTTTGTCTCTTCTGCATTAAAGCTACTTACCTGTCTGTCCACCCCTGCAAGCACAGCTCACTGCACAAATTCAACAATTCCAAATCTGACAGCACTCCCATGCATGCGTGGGAGTGACGTTATCTTGGCCCAGCCAATGGCTGGTGATCAAAACCTGGAAGCTGGCTGCTGATATGTGAGTTCCTGGGACATTTCATCACTTTATTCAAGGTGAGTATATTTCAACTTTAAGCTGACTATCCACTAGCAGATTTTCAAACAAGAGTTCGAACAAACCTTTGTATGAAAATCCTCGGTACATCAAAAATACACTTTTCATTTTTTTTCAAACCAGACTACCACAATGCATCTATATGAATAACAGTTAACAAAGATTACAAAGCAATGGAACTCTATAGCTACAGCTCATTTTATACATAATAAACATGTATCTTTTTATATTGCGGTTTCTTTTTTAAACAGCTTAATTACTGATGCACACAATTAAGCAATATCTTGACAATGATAAAAAAAGATCACAATATACTATACATTATAACCCATTTCTTTAGAAAATAGAAAGTGTCTTCTCCAGCTTTATTTTCTGTCTCAAAGTATTACTGTATTTCTGACACATAGAGATAGTAATTTCAGTATCTGCAGCTCTGCTCATAACCAAAGCTAAAGTTCTTTTTCTTCAAACTGTTGGCTCTTTCAACTCTCTCAAATCTGTGATGCTAAAAATCCGTTTTTTTTTCTCCTTCTTCCTTAAGTGTTCTTATAGTATTTCTCCTCACAGAGGTGCTCATGGCAGCATGAAAATGACTGTTACCCCTCTGCACTGGGGTACCTACTTTGTAGATTGACATATTTGTGATGAGTATGACTTTCTTGATGCAGTAGATACGTTTCGTTGTGTATAAACCTTTTTAAAGACTAATGTAAGTAAAATAAGTAATATGAATTTTTATTTTCAGGCTCACCTCCTGAGTTTGTTTGACAATGTTAACAGAGTGGGCTTTCACGAGAAGAACTATGATCAAATTTTATATTTTGAATCTCAAGAAGGGGAAAAAGTGAACCTAGTGGAGCCTGTCAATGCTCAGGTAATATTGATTATTAATATTAGATGAACATGTGCTGTAAAATAATCTTCTTATCGTTGTCTGTATATTTTATGATGCCCAACAATATTGGACCTTAAAAGGTTTTCCATATTACTCAAAAAAGTTAAATCTTTTCAGCCTCATGTGTAGGACCTTTGATGAGTTCCAATGTTCAGCTATGTTTTAGATTTAAAAACAGCAGCTCCAAGATCTCTGAAGCACCAGATGCTGCGTTGCCTTTCCTTGCCTCCTCAGCCTAATAAAGCTCCAGCTTGGGAACTCTTTAGAAACAACTGATTTCCAGATTTTGGTCATTCCAGATCAAGTGTGGTGTCCTCTACTGTGCACTGTTTGATGGACTTTAAGTTGGAGCGAAAGAGGATTTGGATCTACATGCATATGGCTGTAAAAATTTTACTGATGTTTTTGAAACAAAAAGTTCCTTTTGTAAACGATACTTGCTTTTAGATCATTTTTTTTTTTGTGTGTAAACTTGTCCTGTTTTTTTAAACACCAGAATGCATTTTCATACAGTACCTGTCCTCCAATGCAGAGTTTAGGATTTTGTGTTAAGGATCTGAACACAGAGCATGCTTACACACCTGTGTGAATGTCTCCTTTGACGTAATGCAGCTGCATCCAGATCCATAAATAAAAAACACACTTTAAATTAATTTTTTTTAATGGCCTTGTGACTATTGCCTTACAGCATGTTAATGATACTCCTTTTAGAGCTGGTTCACACATATGCGAATCGAATGCATTTTGAACCGCATTCAATTTGCATGACATGTGAAAGAACATTGCTTTCTATTGTGCCTGTTCACATATGTCTGCTACAGCTGGATTCAATACGAATTGAAAAAGAGTCCTCTCAGTTTTCTGAGCAGTGCGATCTGGCTCAGGTGCAAATTCAGGCCCATTGACTTCTATGGGAATGCTTCTGAATCACGTGTCGTTCAGGTATGAACAGGATAAAATCCTGACCTGATCCTTATCTAAATCTGATCTGATCCTGATCTAAACCTGACCTGAAACGCTGAACAACTACTTTGTCTATTAGCTGTAAAAACTGAGCTTCAATTCGCACTGCACATGTGTGCATCTACATATAAAGCAAAAGTTTAGCTAATGCTACTTCTCAGTTCTGTCAGTCAGATCACTAGACCATTATGTGTTTGATTGGGGGCATTACAATATCACCTCAAAAGAACTCTTTAAAGTGTTACTAAACCCACTACAGTAAAATTAGTCTACATATGCAATAAAGTATGCTTGTTATACTCGCTGTGGAACCTAAGGTGTTAATCCTCCGCATTGTGTAAAAAGGATCTTTGATCCTGTCTTCTCTGATCCTCCCCCTCTTCTACTGTCCCCAGTCCATCTGGTGATAGAACATATCCTTGGGAGCAAGGTGCACATGCTCAGTTAGGTGTGTATTGCTAGAAAGGTTTTTTTTTTTCTTGGAGATTGCATGTGATCAGCACAGGGCCAATCAGCACTGTCCAGACAGAGGGTCAGGGGTTATGCAGCCTCATAGGACAATCAGGGGAGAAAAACTCCTCCTACAAGATTTAACCAGTACTCTGCTGGACACTGATAGAAGTCACAATACTGCTCTAACTGCTGATGAGAAAGGGTAATTAGCAGTTTATATTTACTAAAGTAATTGCATTTCTATGTTCTGTGTACTGTGGAAGACCAGATATAGTGAATGCAGGCTCCTGGATTTAGTAACACATTTTAACTTTTGAGCATCACACTAATAACTTTTCTAACTTTTCAAACATACAATTTAGTATGTCATTTAAAATGTTTATTTTCAAACTAAATCTCATAAAAAGATGAGATAAAATTGTTGTTAGATATTTTAATGTTGTGCCTCTGCCATCCTAACTCCCACTGCCAAGCCATACATATATTTGTATTTTTATGTGCAACACAAATAAATCTAACTGCAGATTGATTCAAGTGCCGTTTCCACAGTTGAATGAGCATGGTGTCACTCAACACTGTAGATTCTGCCTCCAAGACACTCCTAATGAATTGTTTGCTGTGAAATGCAGTGAGGCCACCCTCCTTCCATTGTGGGACCAGAGCTTGAATCAAACTATAGTCTGATTTATTTGTGTGCACATGGACATACTGTATAAACATATGTATGGCTGGGCAGTGGACGTTAGAATGGCAAAAGCATAAATTTGGTGAAAATATCTAACAATAACTCTACCTAATGTTTTTAAGAGATTTTATTTGAAAGTAGATATTTTAAATGACATACTAATGAAAAATTAAATGTTTTAAAAGTACAAATAGTTATCTGTGTGGTGCCTAAAAGTCTCTGAGATATCTTTTTTGGGTGATATTGGAACTAATTATCTCACGGATGTGGCACCCTCCACCACTGTACAGAGTATATTTATAGATTTGATTGGGGGAAGTAAAACACGGTACACACTAGGACTCATGTACCTCCACCAACAAATCAGGTCATTTGACTAGGTGGGCTACATGTATACTGAATGTAGCTCTGTAGCGTGAAAAAGGTTTTCTCTGAAGTATACAGTAAGTATGGTAAGCCACTGGGGTTGCTTGGGAGTTTATATTCTTTATTTATATTTATTTATTTTTTAGGGAAATGTGGAGTCATGGTTGGGTCTTCTTCTAAATGGTGTTAAGAAGACTCTACACAACATAATCAGACAAGCATCCATTGCCATTAGTGATTCAGGTTTCAAGCTGTATGACTTCCAGGCTATGTACCCTGCTCAAATCGGACTGCTGGGAATTCAGATGATCTGGACAAGGGATGCAGAAGAAGCCTTAAATATGTCCAAAACAGACAAAAAGGTATAATATCAAAGTTTGATGTCTGAGTTGGTAATGTGAGATGATAAGACAAGAGATTTATATTCTACAGATTAAGTTTGTATTTCAATGCATTCATATACTTACACAATAAAGTAATTAATAATAATGATTGTATGTTGGGATATCTGACTCTAAAAATCATTATTTTTTTTCACATCAACCTAAGTAATACTACTGTCCAGGGGTGGACTGACAACTCATGGGGCCCCCGGGCAATAGGGGATCATGGGGCCCCTGTGTCCTTGCCCAAACTCAAAAAAGCCTATGAAAAAGGTACCAGGGGCATCTCATGGGGCCCCCTACTGACCCCGGGCCCTCGGGCAGTGCCCGAGTTTCCAAATGATCAGTCCGCTCCTGCTACTGTCATTTAAAAAACACAGATCTTAATCAAAAATAATAATTTGTGAATTTGTGTAACTATAGTGTGTTGCAAATAATGATCCCTTTATAACTTCAACATTTGTATTTAAAGGTTATGCAGACAACCAATCAGAAGTTTCTTGATCTGTTGAATGACCTGATTGATATGACAACAAAGGATCTGACCAAAATGGAAAGAACTAAATATGAGACTCTAATTACCATCCATGTTCACCAGAAAGATATTTTTGATGATCTGGTAGGTGAAATTTCCAGTAATTTAAATAAACACAATATTATCTAAGATTTTATAATGTTTTATAATAGTATATATATATTGCTTGTAAGAAATGCTTATTAATATACACTAAATTAATTTATGGTTATTTTAATAGAGTGTGAAGGATTTCATGTAACAGAAAAGACAACCATTCAGTAATTAATGCATTGGAGTAAAGATGGCATTGTTGTTTGTTTTGCTCTCCAGGTTCGAATGAACATTAGATCGGCTTCAGATTTTGAATGGCAAAAGCAGTCCAGATTTTATTTCATTGAAGATATAGATAAATGTATCATCCAGATCACAGATGTGGAATTCAGCTACTGCAATGAGTATTTAGGCTGTACTGACAGGCTGGTCATTACCCCTCTGACTGACAGGTATACTATCTTGGGTACAAGCAATATAAACCGTACTATTTTGCATTGAAGTCTAAAGAATATAAAACTTGTGACAGCAAAATTAATGATCCAAGACAAGATTTACCCAAACAGTTCTCACCAAGAGTTACACCAAACCAAGAAATGTGATTACTGTATTTGGGTATACAGTATATATCATATTTTTCATATATTTGGGCTGCTAAATACCTCCTTTTCAAACATTTCTCTTTTTCAAGCAGGGAATTTGCCTAACCCATAGCCACATGTATACTAGGGGTGTGTATACTTGCGGCTGTGGGGTGGAGAATGCCATGGTTGTAGATGATTGCTCTGTACAGGTGACAGCTTCCTGGCAGGCTCACTCATGTGGGTTTGGATCCTAATCCCAACACACCAAGCTCATCACTGTCTGAGGCAGAAGACAGAGGGGACACACTAGGACTGTTGTGGCCTCTCTTTCTCAGTACAGATTTAGGGACTGAGCCAGAGGCTGAGACAACTGATCAAGCAGAGAGGCTGGGACTGGAACAGCCTGTACTGAGTTAAATAGCCAGGAGGCTGAGATTTTTTTGTTGCTGTAATGCTGAATAACCCCTGTGAGGATAATACCTTTTGTTTGCATTCACTATTCTAAATAATAGGGGTCAGGAAGCCTTAGAACAGACCTTGGTGAGTACATGGAGTACTTAAAATCTCTTTATTTAAATCTGACTCATCACACTGTGTGCCTGTGTGTGTATGTATATATACACTATATTGCCAAAGGTATTGGGACACCCCGCCAAATTATTGGATTCAGGTGTTCCAGTCATCTCAATGGCCACAGGTGTATAAAATCAAGCCCCTAGGCATGCAGACTGCTTCTACAAACATTTTATGAAAGAATGGGTCACTCTCAGGAGCTCAGTGACTCCAAGCGTGGTAACGTGATAGGTTGCCACCTGTGCAATAAGTCCATCCATGAAATTTCCTTGCTACTAAATATTCCACGGTCAACTGTTAGTGGTATTATAACAAAGTGAAAGTAGCTGGGAACAACAGAAACTCAGGTTCGAAGTGGTAGGCCACATAAAATGACAGAGCGGGGTCAGCGCATGCTGAAACACACAGTGCGCAGAAGTCACCAAAAGTCTGCAGAGTCAATAGCTAAATACCTCCAAAGTTCACGTGCCCTTCAGATTAGCACAACAGTGCGTAGTGAGTTTCATTTAATGGGTTTCCATGGTCGAGCAGCTGCATCCAAGCCTTAAATCACCAAGTGCAAAGCAAAGCGTCGGATGCAGTGGCGTAAAGCATGCCGCCACTGGACTCTAGAGCATAGGAGATGTGTTCACTGGAGTGACGAATCATGCTTCTCTATCTGGCAATCCAATGGATGTGTCTGGGTTTGGCGGTTGCTGAGAGAATGGTACTTGCCTGACTGCATTGTGCTAAGTGTAAGGGTGGGCAAACTCAAAATCTGAAACTCTGGATTTCTAAGTCCTTAGTAGGGATCCGGAATTTTGAAAGTTTGAAGAGTTTTGTGTGGAAAGAACCTCCAGTTCCTGTTTACAGGGACTTTGGTCCTGAAGGGGTTAAACCAGTTGCATCAGAGGCCAGAAAAAGAAGAGTAAACAGTTGTCTGCTGGCAGTGAGGCAGTGAGCTGGATACCTGTGTGAGCAGGGTAAACTGACCTTAGGATTGAAACACAGTTAGTGAGATGGGAAAACCTCCTCCTTGGGAGCCCTGAAGCCAACAGGAAACCTCAAAACCCCAGAATGGAACTGGTATGGTGGCGGTGGCCTTTACCTTGGTTTGCAATCTTGAGCCAGAGTATAGACTATTCTGTGTTTTCTGAAGACAAGTTTTTTTTAATAATTTTTTTATGCTTGTTTGGAATAAAAAAGGACTGTTTGCTTTTACCAGCCCTGATCCCCAGGTGACAAAATAAAATGAAAATAAATATATATATATATTACCAGAAGTATTGGGACACCCCTCCAAATCATTTGATTCAGGTGTTCCAACCACTTCCATTGCCACAGGTATATAAAATCAAGCACCTAGGCATGCAGACTACTTCTAAAAACATTTGTGGAAGAATAAGTTGATTTCAGGAGCTCAGTGAATTCAAGCGTGGTACCATGATAGGTTTCCACCTGTGCAATAAGTCCATCCGTGAAACTTCCTTGCTACTAAATATTCCACGGTCAACTGTTAGTGGTATTATAACAAAGTGGAAGCAACTGGGAAGAATAGCAATTCAGGCATGAAGTTGTAGGCCACGTAAAATGACAGAGCGGGGCCAGCCCATGCTGAAGCTCACAGTGCACAGAAGTCGCTAACTGTCAGCAGAGTCAATAGCTAAAGACCTCCAAACTTCTTGTGGCCTTCAGATTAGTACAACAGTGCATAGAGAGCTTCATTTAATGGTTTTCCATGGTCGAGCAGCTGCATCCAAGCCCTACATCACCAAGTGTTCTCTGGAGTGACGAATCACGCTTCTCTGTCTGGCAATCCAATGGACGTGTCTGGGTTTGGCGGTTGCTCATCACCATGAGCTGTAAGCCATAATTATCACAATTATGACAAATCACGGCTTGAACTATCTTGCTTTGCATGTATTGAGTCTATCTCATATATTAGATTCACCTTTTAAGTTGCATTACTGAAATAAATGAACTTTTGCACAATATTCTAATTTTTTGAGTTTCACCTGTAGATTCAGATCTCAGGTGCAGACATTGCCATGGCCACCATGCACAGGATAGCACAATGTAAAGGCTCAGTGGAGGATGTAAATGCTGCCTGCAGGTTTGGCAATGTAAAATGTAAAAATTATCCTTAAAACCTACCTCCAGCAAAAGAGCTACGCATGAACATACACTGTGCCATAGAGAGAGCTGTTTTACCTGCTAAAGGATTTTAATTTCTGTTCATCCTACATTTCACACAACTCTGCTACACAGCACACCCTTTCTGGCAGGTTAGGAGACCTGATTTATCTCTGTTGCATTTATCCCTAGTAGCAGCAGACTAATGAGTTCATCTCTCTGTCACTCTGCTATTTCCTCCTATCAGCATTGTCCCTGTTAGCACATGAGTGGTGTATTATAGCTGATTGACCGTTCCCCAGTCAAATTGAGGTATTTGCATTACTTACAATAAAAAAAACTAATTTAATGATATATTAAGGATAAACTGTTGCATTAATTTGTGACTTTTAATTTTGTCTAGAGTTCAGCTTTAATAATGCAAGTATAGTGTCTCAGTGCACTCATGTGAAAGACCTGGACCAATATTCATGTAGTTCTGCAATATAAAGTTGCAAGCCAAAATGACTTTTGATACCACTGAAGGTGAACAATTAAATCAGTTTATATAATATACAAAATAGTCAGGAAGGCTAAAATGCTGGGGTATGCAGTTTATATGTACAGTATTATGACATTATTCTGAATAAATTTTTGGCTGTTTTAGGTATGTTACCTGTTTTCATTTTTATGTTGCTATATACAGTTTTTATTTAACTTTCCAGATGTTACATTACCCTGTCTCAGGCTCTAGGCATGAGCATGGGTGGAGCACCAGCGGGCCCTGCTGGGACTGGAAAGACTGAAACAACCAAGGACATGGGCAAGTGTCTTGGAAAATATGTTGTGGTTTTCAACTGCTCTGATCAAATGGACTACAGAGGACTGGGTCGTATATACAAAGGTACATTATTTCCATTTCAGAGCTTTAAAATACCTTTGTAAACTTTGTATATTGTTATTTTACAAAAATCTTACAATCGGCCTCAACAATATTAAAACTGTTAGTAACTACTTCTTCCCTTTTCACATTACCACTCGCAACTGGCTGCTACCAGTAGATGGCAATCTACGACAGGTCAGCATGGAGCTGCCTATTTTGTCTCTAGTTATGGAAATTAAAGTGATTTAATTAGGCTAATTAGAACACATGGAAAAGAAAATCTGAAATGTTTGGCACATATATAAATTAATGGTGCATTTAATTTGAATATGCTTAAGTTGCTGTATTGAGGATGATTACAAAGAAAAGTTTGCAAGGCTGTTTTTAATTTCAAAAGTACTGCTGGTGGGGTTCACAATAAGGGATCTGTAAGTTTATATTATGGCAAACATAACAAAATAAGTCACGCTCTTTAACTGTTTACAAAAGTATAGTGCTCAGTTTTTTGGAACCAAGAGTATATTCTATTTATCACAGGGGTCCAAATTCTGTAACTAACACACGTGCATCATTTTGTGATTTTCATTCATACTTGTAACTAATTAAGGCTAGATTCACATATGTGCGGGTGGTACCGCTGCGGATCCGCACAAAAATGTGTGCAGCCGCACCACCCACACAGGGGAATGCAGACCCACGGGCGGGTGCCATTAATTCCTGAGGTTCCCGTGTGGGCTGCGATTTCAGAAGAAGTGCAGGGACTTCTTCACTGCGTGTCCCAGGGCATGGGAGTCCATTCAAATGAATGGGTTCTCGTGCCCATGCAAAACGCGGTCCGCTGGAACGCGGATATGTGAACCAGGGGTAACGGAGGTCTGTAGAAACATACAATATAGTTATACCCTTCACTATTCTTTATTTAGAATAACTAATTTACTAGGTTACAAAGCTATTGCTGTATTGTTTAGTATCCTGTACAAGCCTGTTTATTCCTAGCACAATGGGGCCTCATATGTTTTTCACACTGCTCTTAGGGGCATCTGACATTCTTTTTTCTTGTGCTTCTAAATGCCTATGTATGCATGGACACAGAGGCTAAAATGCATTTAGAGGCAGAAAAAGTCAGAAAAAAAACTCACTGCCAGGAATAACGGCATTTTTATGGCAGAAAGCTTGACCCATGCAAAGGCATTTAAATGTGCGTTAAAGGTTTCCCCACCATCAGAATAGAATGATCAATGCTGGAAGCTATAGCCACAGACAGTGATTGCTTGGGCATTCATTCATTTTAATAGCCAGAATAAATTATTATTTTGGCCAATGAAATGAATGAACACCCAAGCACATGATGCACCTGAACTTGCGTAAATGCATTACATGCTTTTCCAAGCATCAAGGTAGAAAGGCATCTAGGAGAGATGGCCAAGGCATCCAGAGAGGTCCCTAATATAAGGGAATATTATGATGATAAAAAAAAATAAGGCTTTTTTTTGCCATTAAAAGATTGAGAACAATATTCCAATTAATTTTTGGTAAGATATATCTAAAATGCTAAACAGCACTGCAATTAATAATACTATCTAAATATGGTATACTTGCTTCCATTAGCATTCTGATAATAAAACGTCATGTGTAACCTTTTTTGGGACCTTAGTGAATAGTGTTGATAATTACATTTCTGTGTTACAAGGGTTAACAAGCCCTGCAATCTTTTATTAATTCAGAGCCTTCTGAGTTCTAATGTAAAGGAAAAAGAAGTGTGTCTGCTTGAAAAGTATTTAAGAGCTTAAGCGAAGGACTGAATGGAAAGCCATCTTCTTGTTATTAGTAGGAACAGAAAGTGTCCAAGGTCATGTTATCATAAAAATGCATCCCCAAGAGAATGAGTGCAAAGACTATCTAGCTTTATATTTTCTCATAAATCCCCAGTGCATCTTCTCTACAGGCAAACTCACAGCTGTTAAATACAATGGGCATGAGATGTGTCACATAGCAGAGGGTGGTAATGTTGTTACTGATAAATAGGGGATTTTCAACCAGTAACTAGTGCTTTCATATGATGTTGCTTTGGTGGACATATGTATTAAAAAGTTATACTAATGAATAGAAACATGTCTGAATATGTGAGTGGTTACACTAATTTTCCTGCTGATGTTTGAATTTGGTAGGAATTGTTTAAAAAGTCAGAAAATTAAAAGTAATCATTTAAAGTTATACATAATGTTATTATGTAGAAACTTAATAATCATTTATTGTTTAGTTTCTTAAGGGCCATGTACATATGAGTGTGCTGAAAATGTGTACGCTGTACTTGGCACTTACATTATTTGGGTACCTGGATGGCAGTGTATATCTATAAAGATGTATAAAAGCCCCTGTGCTTAGATTGCACTAATCAATGAAAAACTGCTAGCACCCACTATGTACCAATGAATGACATCCACAAAGCAAAAATATATATGTATGGTGCAGTGCTAATACTATAATCTATACAGCTAGCAGTAAGCTGAATCGGAAAATAAATAACATAAAATAATATCACAGCATTACATAGTATCACAGCATTGTAACATTTAGATCATAAGTGGATATAAATCTCCCTCAATGAATGACAATATAGCATATAACAATCACTGGTGCAAGAGTGACACACACTTAATCCGTGACTAGAGTAATAAATCAGTCCACTTTATGCACATAGGTGAAAAGATCTTCATATACGTGAATGTGTCATATGTGCCAAAAATCCCAAAATGGTCTGAGTGCCCCCTCACCTCCTTGCAATGACCCACAAGGGCCAGCCAGCGTTATAATAATGTTCAGACGATCTCCTACGGATCCCTTTCCCAATAAGGCTGTAATGGTAAGTGACCGGAGCTTTGACCAGACCTCTTCCTGCACTCCACCGCTCTGGCAACACCTCTAGGTTCCACTCAGAGACACAAGCAAACAGACTCCATAGTGTAATACTGACTTGTCTCCAGTGTCCGTCTCAATAAAGACCTATTCTCTTTAGAGGTGGCCGGAGAGAGAGTTTTTAAGGATTTTTCTGCAACAAACCCCCCCGTGGACGGGACAGACACCGGAGACAAGTTCAGTATTACACTATGGAGTCTGTTTGCTTGTGTCTCTGAGTGGAACCTAGAGGTGTTGCCAGACCGGTGGAGTGCAGGAAGAGGTCTGGTCAAAGCTCCGGTCACTTACCATTACAGCCTTATTGGGAAAGGGATCCGTAGGAGATCGTCTGAACATTTATTATAACGCTGGCTGGCCCTTGTGGTCATTGCAAGGAGGTGAGGGGGCACTCAGACCATTTTGGGATTTTTGGCACATATGACACATTCACGTATATGAAGATCTTTTCACCTATGTGCATAAAGTGGATTGATTTATCACTTCTAGTCACGGATTAAGTGTGTGTCACTCTTGCACCAGTGATTGTTATATGCTATATTGTCATTCATTGAGGGAGATTTACATCCACTTACAGTTGTGTCCAAAATTATTCAACCCCCACTGAAATTGAGTGTTTTGGCCAGTTTGACATTGCTTTTGATCATTCAGTCATCTTGCTTACATTTACATTAAAGAGGCACTTGTAGGTCAGACAAATATAACATAACAGTTATAATGAAATAACCACAAATGTCTTTTCTGTGCTCACAGCATTATCAGTTTTATTCAACCCCCAAGTGACATTCAATCTTAGTACTTAGTACAGCATCCTTTTACAGTTATAACAGCTTTTAAACGTGAAGCATAGCTTGACACAAGTGTCTTGCAGCGATCTACGGGTATCTTCGCCCATTCTTCATGGGCAAAGGCCTCCAGTTCAGTCACATTCTTAGGCTTGCGCACTGCAACTGCTTTCTTTAAGTCCCACCAGAGGTTCTCAATCGGATTTAAGTCTGGTGACTGCGATGGCCACTCCAAAATGTTCCAGCCTTTCCTCTGCAACCATGCTCTAGTGGACTTGGAGGTATGCTTGGGATCATTGTCCTGTTGAAAGGTCCAACGTCTCCCAAGCCTCAGGTGTGTGACGGACTGCATCACGTTTCCATCCAATATCTCCTGGTACTGAAGAGAATTCATGGTACCTTGCACACGCTGAAGCTTCCCTGTACCTGCAGAAGCAAAACAGCCCCAAAGCATGATTGACCCTCCACCATGCTTCACAGTAGGCAAGGTGTTCTTTTCATCATAGGCCTTGTTCTTCCTCCTCCAAACATAGCGTTGATCCATGGGCCCAAACAGTTCTAATTTTGTTTCATCAGTCCACAGAACACTATCCCACAACTTTTGTGGTTTGTCCACATGGCTTTTGGCATACTGCAGTCGACTCTTCTTATTCTTTGGAGACAGCAAGGGGGTACGCCTGGGAGTTCTGGCACGGAGGCCTTCATTACGCAGTGTGCGTCTTATTGTCTGGGCTGAAACTTCTGTACCCACATCTGACAAATCTTTTCTCAGTTCCTCAGCAGTCACACGGGGACTTCTCTCCACTCTACGCTTCAGGTAGCGCACAGCAGTCGAAGTCAGCATCTTCTTTCTGCCACGACCAGGTAGCGTTTCAACAGTGCCCTTTGCCTTGAATTTGCGAATGATGCTTCCTAAGGTGTCTCTTGGTATGTTTAACATCTTTGCAATCTTCTTATAGCCATTGCCCTTCCTGTGAAGAGAAATCACCTCTTCTCTTGTCTTCCTGGACCATTCTCTTGCCTTCACCATGTTTGTAACCACACCAGTAAATGTCTAGAAGGAGCTGAGTATCACAGTCATTTTAAAGCTGCCTAATTGGTGCTTATTATGCTTGATTGCTGCTCGGTGACATCCACAGGTGTTTTCAATACCTGATGGAAAGCACCTGTATGAACCTCTGTTCTTCAGAGTGGTAGTCTTTAAGGGGTTGAATAATTGTGTGGCAATGAAGAAACCACATAAGAACCATTTACTACTGTATTACATAAACAATTGATGTCATTTTAGTTGCATTTGGGTAGTTACAACGTCCTTGTAGGATT